TTCCATGTAGGTGAAAGGTTCCACCATTCATCCAGTTAAGTAAGCTAAAATGATCCTTCCACCCTCAGTTTCCTTGTCTAATCCGTTACCAAGTCCTATCGATTTTACTTGGTGTTTCTTGAATTTTCCATTTCCATTCTCTGCTAATGTCTAGTCTAAGCTTGTGTTGGCATAGTCCAGGGCTAATCAGGAGAGAAAAACTATATAATAATTTGATCAGGGGGAAATAGAAGTTCAAGGATTGTCAGCAATGGGATTAGAGTACACACACATGCTGCTTTCAGGTGCACACACCAAAGCCCTTTCCTCCTCAGTGTCTCCAGTCTCCTCCCTGACAAAGCTTTAGTGTCAGCCAAAGGAGAAATCTTAAGGGCCCAAATCCTTCACAAAGCAGCCAAAAAGGATGGATTTGGAGCTGAGAGGCACTAAATTGATACTTGACACAGTCTACCTCTGATGACTCAGCTTCCATATGCCCTCTGACACACATTGAACTCCATCATTTCTGCCTAACAAAAGCAGCTACCCTTCTTACAAGTGAGCAAGTTTCAGACTTTTCAAAAGTCGATGCACAGTCCCGGAGTCATGTGTTTGTTGATAGCTATAGTGGTTATTCCTCAGATCCAGTCAGTCCCACTGAATATTACCTACTCTCTATTACCTAGAGACTGAGTTGTAAAGTTAACTTCCAATAAATTTTATATAAAATATAAATGAGAAGAAGAGAATAAATTGTTAGCATATACAAATTACCACGTGAAAGGTTCTCCCTTCCCCCAACTGATGGATGGAGTATGATGTAAACTGCACCTGCAGTCCGAACATTCCTGAGCACCTAACCAGCTTATATGGAATTATTATTATGTGTTAATCCTCACCTGAGGATATTTTTTTCATTGCTTTTCAGAGAGAGTAGAAAGAGGGTGGGGAGAGAGAGAGAAGGAGAGAAACACATTGATGTGAGAGAGACACAGCAATTGGATGCCTCTTGCATGCGTACCAACTGGGGGTGGGGAGTGAATTGCAACCCTGGTATGACCAATTGCCTGGAAATTGAACCCATGACTCTTCCAGGTGCAGACTGATGTTTTAACCATTGGGGAACACTGGCCAGGGCTGGACAGGTTGTTTTTATTTATTTTTTAAAATATATTTTATTGATTTTTTCACAGAGAGGAAGAGAGAGGGATAGTTAGAAACATCAATGAGAGAGAATCATCGATCAGCTGCCTCTTGCACACCCCCTAATGGGGATGTGCCTGCAACCAAGGTACATGGCCCTTGACTGGAATCAAACCTGGGACCTTTCCATTGAGCCAAACCGGTTTCAGCTGGACAGGTTATTTTTAAATGAACAGAGCTGTTTATAAAGCAGCATACATAGGATGTTCTCATTTTTTAAAATTCCTTTTACCTATTTTTGAGTATGTGCAGAGAAAAGTTTGGAATGATCTATAATGTTATCATGATTGTGTTGTGGATTTTAAACCTCAGTCATTAACCAGGGAATATAAATGCTACTGTCTTTATTTCTCTGCAACTGAACTAGTTAATTTTGGCTCTTAAGCCCCCAGGCTTCCTATTTCCATTTGAAAATAACTCAGCCTCTTATTGTTTAACTAGAGGCCGAAATTGGTGCAATGGGGGAGAGGGTGTGCGTGTGTCCCTAAGCCCAGCCTGCACCCTCTCCAATCTGTGATCCCCTAGACATCCCTCTTACAATCTGGGACTTCTGGCTCCTAACCATTTGCCTGCCTGATTGCTCCTGTTTCTGCCTGCCAGCCTGATTGCCTCCTAACTGCTTCCCTGCCAGTCTGATCAACACCTAACTACTCCCCTGCTGGCCTAATCACTCCAACTGCCCTACCCTGCCGGCCATCTTATGACAATATGGGGGTGGCCATCTTGTGATGATATGGGGAGCCATCTTGTGATGACACAAGGGCATGAGGGCCACCTAGGCTTTTATTAGTATAGATGTTCAGCCCCTCCTAAATCCTCCTTCCCCCTCCTGGGAGTGATGTACAGATTGCCCTGCTGTGGGGAGAGGAGCCCGTGACACACCCAGTCTGTGGGTCTCCATCCAGTTATCACTCATCTGGCCCGATCTCCACCTTCTTGTGCCTGCATTGGCTTCACACGTCTGACTTTTGCTCCTCTTAAGGTCTGGGAATTGTCAGCACCTTGTCCCCTCCAATCATGTGTCCTTGTGGGCCCACCATTTTGTTCAGAGCCGATTCTGACTGCCTCTTGGGTCTGGGTGTGGTTGCCTTCCTCTATCACTAGGGGGCACCCTCAGGGAGGTCCTCAGGTTTGTCGCCTCGGCCCCTCCTAAGGCCGTCTCTTCACTCTCATGTGTTGGAGCCAGGCTTCTCCAACCCGAAAGTGAAAGGGCCCCTCTGCTCCTGGCACTACCTCCTCCAGGGCCTTTTGCCCGGACTTGCTGGTCACCTATGTACGCCTCCCTCCTTCAGGGTTGGGTTCATCTTCCCAACCAAGCTTTTAAGGCCATCTCCAGCACTCTTCTTGAAGGGACAGAATGGCTTTCAAGGCAACAGTGTGCTAACCATGTACAAAAGTCTACTTAAAAGGGTAAGTGCAGAGGCGGAGGGTGTGTGTGTCCAGAAGGCCCGCCTCGGTGCCTGCGTGGCGGAGGGGTGGGAATGCACTGACAGTACACATCCTGCTCCTGTGCGCTCTGGACCGGGGGATTGTGGGTGAGTCCTGCTCGTGTTTGCTCTGCGGTTTCTGAATTTTCTACCACAAACATGTATTTTTTTAATAATAGAAAATACGACAAAAATTCTTTTGTACCTAAATGGACACTTCCAGGCATTTGGGTTTTTAGTGCTAAAGGCCTACTTATTTGTTTTACTTTTAAAAAATATATATATATTTTTTATTTTAGAGAGGAAGGGCGAGGGAGAGATAGAAACATCAATGATGAGAGAGAATCATTGATTGGCTGCCTCCTGCACCTCCCTACTGGGGATCGAGCCCACAACCTGGGCATGTGCCCTTGACTGGAATTGAACCCAAGACCCTTCAGTCCGCAGGCTGATGCTCTATCCACTGAGCCAAACCAGCCAGGGCTACTCATTTTCCCCCCTGTATATTTTGAATTTTTGGTGCCTTAAGACCTCACCTCACACAGTGGGTGGATTCTGGGAGAGGGAAGTCAGAGGGAATGGGATGGAAGTAGTGATAAGAGGGAGAGTGATATGGCATCAGCTTCCTCAAGGAGGGGAGTGAGGCTGGCCCCTATTCAGCTACCTCCACGGTGAGGCTGTGGCTTCCGAGGCATCTTAAAGGACAGTGTCCACCAACTGAGCTTGAAGGAGCGAAATCATAGCAGAAATCGAATCAACCTGGAATTTCACATAACAGTTGCCCGCTCGCCTTACAAAAACAAAAAAGAAAACCCCTTTTACATCTTAAGCAGCAGAACATCTCAGATATGAAGGTTTGCCCAGTCACCTTCCCATCATGCTTGAGTCCTTGACCATGCTAGAGATGACTGATTTAAAAAAAAAAAAAAAAAAGCTTAAAGATTTCATGTCTATCTGTTGTGGCACTTTATGTTCCCATTTTTATTCTTCTAAATTTTTAATTTTGTGAAAGTGTTAGAAAAATAATTGAAAAAGCTAGTGTCGTGCATACGTAGAGATGGAGGGAGGCAGGCCCAGCTTCTATCCCACGGTCCTCTGGAGCTGGGGACGGGCTGTGCGGCTGGCCCATTCACCTTGGCCCAGGCCTGCGGGATCCATGGGACCTGGGCTGGCTCTGTGGCGGAGGCGTGGGAAGGCTGGTCTGGACTGGACTGGAGCCCCTCATCCTCCGAAGACCCTCCCTGGTCATGCCTCCCACCCAGAGAGGGTGGACAAGACCGACACAGGACTGAGGGGACAGGCTGCAGGCTCGTGGTCCACCAGCTTAAAGTCCTTTTGAGGAAAGGAGGAACGTGGGAGTGAAGGCTTCTCTTCAGTGAGGGGGTTTGGAGGGGGTGGGGTGGGGGTGGGGGTACCCTGGGGACTTGGAGACTAGGATGGCTCCCCCTAGTGGAGGAGAATGAGAGTCAGCGTATCCTTACTGGGGACCTGAGGCCTGCTGATGGTAGAGTTGGGACCAGAGCTGAAGCCTCCTGTCCCCGCACACTGCTCTTCCTGTCTCAGCAGGAAGGACTGGCCCAGCTCCTCCTGGTGCGGGAGACCTGGGCGCTGGGGAAAGGCAGCGGCCCTAGTTGGCCCGGGTCCCACTGCTGTCACTAACCCGGCCCTGTGGGGTAGGTCTGATTGGGGACAGACATCTCCCCATGTTCTCCCAGCGCCTCCCACAGGGGCTTTGGCTTGAGAAGGTGTCAGGAGCAGGGCTTCCCCCTCAGATGGAAGAGGTGGACCGGGGAGTGAGCCTCAGGAGGGCCAGGGACTCCCTGCTTTGCATACACTTCTAGCCCTTGCCCCCCCGAAAGGGGCCCGGCTCCAGGACACACTGCATTTTTAGAAAGTGAGTGAGGTATGACTACATGGCCACTGTGTCAGGGGCTGGCTCTGAGCAGAATTGACTCTGAGCTCAGGAGTGGACCAAGTTCGCTCTCATGGGACTTCTATCCACTGCTGTGTCCGTCCCTCCCAGGGTCACTTTCCTGCCCGAGGCCCCTGGTCACAGGGGTGCAGTGACCCAGCCGTGCATCCTAAGGGGGTGCCACCTCTGACTTAGACGATGACAGTCAGGGAGGGAAAGGAGTCTCGGGAGGGAGGGCCAGTGACGGCGGACTTCCTGTCAACATGTTTGAGCGGCAAAGTCTTCCCCTCAGTGTCAGGAGAGGTCAGCCTTGGCCTGAATGCACCGAACACGGAAGCCCAGGGAGCCAGGCTGAGCTGTGGGGGAGAGGGGGCCCTCAGGAGGAAGAGCTGTGGCCTGTGAGGAGTGGGGCTGGGGACCCATCCCTCTCCCTCCCCGAGGTGGGGCCTGGACTCACCTGGCACGGCTTTGAGTTCTCGTCAGAAGAGGGGTCCCGGGACACACTGGAGGGGACTGAGCTTGGCCGCACACACCCCCAGGGCCTGCGCAGGGACAGCACTGGGCCTCAGGCCTGGCACCCCACCCCCTCTTCCCAGCTCTGAGGGGGACCGAGGCTCTCACTCCGCCTGCCCCCGGGGTGCTCTTCCTGTGGCCTCCGAGGCCACTTCTGAGCCACAGGGAAGTCGGGGCTTTAGAGCCAGAGGAGGTGGGATGGTTCTTGTCCCAGGACACTTTCCAACCGCCCCCCCCCCAACCCAAACACACACAAACACCCACCCCATAACGCACCTCAAACCACACTCCTACTCCTTTAAGCTGCCCCCTCCCTCCCCAGACTCCTCCTCTTTTCATTCTTTCGTAGCTCTTTCTTGAACCCGCTGAGCCTGCCTTTTTTATAATCAAAGGGCAGGGATGGCTGCTCTGGACCCAGGGTGTAGGGTCTCTGAGGATCATGGGGGGGCTCTGGGAGCGGAGGGAAGCCCTAGGACCGCCCGGGAGGGGAGGGCACACCTGGCAGGCGGTGCGGGCATCCCAGCCCCGGGACATCAGGCTCTGCAGCTGCAGCGAGTGCTGTTCCACAAACTGCTCACACTGAGGAGGAGAAGGACACGGTGAGGGAGGGCCAGGCCCTGGGGGCACCCCTGCCTTGCCGTCTGGCCTCTCCATTTTTCTGGGTCACTCCAGGGCTCCCCCTGACCCCATGGAGGTCCAGGCATCAGGCCCTCAAGCAGCTGGCAGGGGCTGAAATTAGGTTTCCGTGGGGAGCACCCAGGCAGAGGGTCAGAATCCTAGCCACCACCAATCCCTCCCGCAGATTTCAGCTCTCAAGAAGCTCTTCCAGCTCATCTGGTCCTAGGGACGCGATGTGGCGTGCAGCGGGGGCCGGAAAGGTGCCGACCAGGCGAGCAGGGGCCGAGCTGCCTCCTGGGGCCTCACGTACTCATGAAGGGAGTTCACTGTCATCGACTCAGCACTGCGACTCTGGGACCTCTCCTTTCTCCTTTTTTAAATTTTTTATCCTCCCCTCAGGGTATGTTTTGCATTGACTTTTAGAAAGAGTGGAAGGGAGGGAGAAAGAGAGAGGTGGGGGATCATCGATGTGAGAGAGACACATTGATTGGTTGCCTCCTGCGCATGCCCTGACCAGGGCCTGGGATGGCACCTGCAACCCAGGCACCTGCCCTTGACGAGGAATTGAACCTGTGACCCTTCAGTCGGAGGGCCTAAGCACTGAGAAAACCGGCTAGGGTGGGATGTCTCCTTTTGTAGGTGGGTTTGTCCCCAGGGAATCACACCGGGAGGGCGGATGGGGCTGGGACAGGCGGAAGAGGAGAGAAGGCCAGGCCCCCTCCTGCTCCAGCTGGCCCTGGCGTTACTCATCTCCTGGTGGATGACTGGTCTCTCACTTCGCCCACGGGGTAGGCCTGCTGGTCCCCTGAGCCTCGCCCTCGGTCCGAGGCCATTCCTGACCGGGGCAGGCTTCGCCCCGTTACAGCCCCATCACTGTTCGGCCCACAGCCCGTCCTATCTGAGCTCCTTCACCCCCGGGTCTGGCCTGCTCTGTGCATCTCTCGTTGGGAAGCCTTTGCTGGCCCAAACCTCCCCCTCGGGCAGGCCCTGGGCCCGAGTCCTGAGACTCCATTGCCTGAGAGTGCTAAAGGCCTACTTATTTGTTTTACTTTAAAAAAAAAATTATTTTAGAGAGGAAGGGCGAGGAAGAGATAGAAACATCAATGATGAGAGAGAATCATTGATTGGCTGCCTCCTGCAACTTTCTACTGGGGATCGAGCCCCGCAACCCGGGCATGTGTCCTTGGCTGGAATTGAACCCAAGCCCCGCACCTTTTGCCTGTCCGTCGTCCAGAAGCGGAGGCAGGCCTGGCGCATCGCCTGCGGCACGGCCTGCTCACTGCTGTTCCCCGCCCGGGCGGCCAGGAACTCGCAGAAGCGGCACTTGGAGTCTTGCTGGAGCCATTCTCCGGGCAGGAGCCCCAGGGGTGTGAGACCTGGACAGGACACAGTCAGAGGCGCCCTGCAGAGGCGCTCGGTTCCTGTCCTCTCTGGGGCGGGGCAGGGGCCTGGGGGCGGGATGAGAGTGGGCAGTGGCGGGGCGGGAGGCCGCAGCTCACCTGGGCCAGCGCCGTCCTCGGAGCTGGTGCAGCGGAGGGCGAGGCCGCAGACCACCTGGGGCAGCAGGCGGCTCAGCAGCACGTCCAGCAGGATGACCGTGTAGCGCTCGGCCAGGCACTGGCAGATGCCGCCCGCCACCAGGGGTACCACGTGGCACACCTGAGCCACGGCCGGGGCCAGTACACCCTGGGGAGGGGCCGAGAGAGGGCGGGGTGGGACCTTCTCCTGCAAGACCGCAGGGCACCTAGCAGACATTCTCTTTTCCCTTCGGGGAGCCAGTATGCTGCTTATAGATGAGGAGGCCGAGCATCGCAGCGTCCGGGGACTTGCCCAGCGCCAGTGGGTGAACACAGGCAGGGCCGTGACCCTCGCTCTGACTCATGACTGACATCGCTGACAGGGTCACAGCCAGCCAGAGGTGTGGGCGCCCCCGAGGGCACACGGCAGCTGGAGGGGGGGTGGCCCACACCTGCGCCTTCCCCCGCCTGACCCACAGGAAGGAGTACAATGATTGAAGTTTCTTTTGATACATATGAATTTGATTCATTAGCTAAAGTTATATGTCACTGGACTTAACTTACTGAATTTCCTATCCTTAAGGGTTTTAGGTTGTGATTGAAGCAAAAAGGACATGTACAGAAATACCAAACTTGAGCAACTGTTAACATGCAGATCATATACCTCTCAATAAAGAGCATCTATGCTGATTAGTCCTGCTAAGCTATGTATAGAGGAAATTGATCAAGTATTGGATTTGAAAATAATTGCTTATGTTTAACAGAATAATGAATGTAAACAATTTATTATGGAAAGCTAAATTATACATCACTGTAACTACCTAGAAAATATGGACATATCTATAACCAAAATGCTAAGAACTTTTATATAGCCTTGTATGAAGGGGGTTTGAATGTTAATAAACACATTTTCCACTTTAAGAACTTAAAAAAAAAATTTCTTTTGAAAGCCACATTTTTTAAACTTAAACTTCTTCAAAATAGACCCGCCCAGAGCCATACGCAAGGGGCCAAAGAGCCGCAAGTGGCTCGCGAGCCGCAGTTTGCCGACCACTGGCTTAGACCTTCCTACTGGCCCCAGCAGGTGCGTCCTCAGAGTCCCCTGCTCAGAGCCTGGCCCCTGCCACCCCCTCGCTCGCCCGCCTGCATCCGAAACGTGCAGGCTGCCCGGCCCTGCCCAGACGCCTGCCCGCGGCCGCCGCCCTGTGTGAGACCTTGGAGGGAGATGCTGAAGCGCAGCGGCCTGTTTGGGGTCGGGCGCGGCTTTGGGGGAGAAGGGGAGGAATGTAACTTGGGGTCTGCCCCGGGACTTACCCAGCGTGGAGAACAGCTCACCTTGGCTGTTTAAGTCTCTGCTCCGAGCCCACTATCCCTCTCTGAGAACCCCCCACCGCCACGCGGACTCGCAGAGCAGGCCCTCGGCCGCCTGGGGAGGGAGGAGCCGGCAGAGCGGCTCCCACATGGCCCCATTTCAGGGTAGGACAGCCCGGGCAGTGCCACCCCAGGTCTGGGAGACTCGGTTGGCACAGGTGGGGGGCGTCTGTGGAAGCTCTCCTTCTGAAACACGTAGTCCCTGTTCTGCAGGGGCCTCTGGGTCTCCCCGTCAGACGCCGGGCTGCTGGACACTTTCTGTGCCGGGACCCTGCCCGTGCCGGCCGGGTGCAGAGAGGGGCCTGATTAGTTAGTGAGCTCTGGGCTGGCACCTCCTGGGCCTGCGCCTGAGCGCCAGGGTCCCTGGGTGGGGGCAGCACAAAGGCCCTCCTCCTGACCTACAGTCCGGCTCTGGTGGGGGTGAGAGGAAGGGTGAGAGGAGGGGTGAGAGGAGGGGAGTGAGGAGGGGAGTGAGGAGGGGTGAGAGGAGGGGTGAGAGGATGAGTGAGAGGAGGGGTGAGAGGAGGGGATTGAGGAGGGGTGTTAGGAGGGGAGTGAGGAGGGGTGAGAGGAGGGGTGTTAGGAGGGAAGTGAGGAGGGGTGTTAGGAGGGGAGTGAGGAGAGGTGAGAGGAAGGGTGAGAGGAGGGGATTGAGGAGAGGTGTGAGGAGGATTGAGGAGGGGAGTGAGGAGGGGATTGAGGAGGGGAGTGAGGAGGGGTGAGAGGAGGGTTGTGAGGAGGGGAGTGAGGAGGGGTGAGAGGAGGGGAGTGAGGGGAGTGAGGAGGGGAGTGAGGAGGGGTGTGAGGAGGGGTGTGAGGAGGGGTGAGAGGAGGGGTGTGAGGAGGGGAGTGAGGAGGGGTGAGAGGATGAGTGAGAGGAGGGGTGTGAGGAGGGGAGTGAGGAGGGGTGAGAGGATGAGTGAGAGGAGGGGTGTGAGGTGGGAGTGAGGAGGGGTGTGAGGAGGGAGTGAGGAGGGGTGTGAGGAGGGGTGAGAGGAGGGGTGTGAGGTGGGAGTGAGGAGGGGTGTGAGGTGGGAGTGAGGAGGGGTGTGAGGAGGGGTGAGAGGAGGGGTGTGAGGTGGGAGTGAGGAGGGGTGTGAGGAGGGGTGAGAGGAGGGGTGTGAGGAGGGAGTGAGGAGGGGTGAGAGGAGAGGAGTAGTGAGGCGGGAGGAAGGGCTGTGTGGGCCTCACCTTGGGAACCGTTGCTTGCACCCGCTTGATCAAAGTCCTGCAGAGCCAGCAGATGGGCAGCGGGAAGGGTAATGTCTGCTCAGCGAGGTCCTGGCGGAGAGAATGGCGTGGAGGGTGGGTGGGCACGGGGCTGGGCACGGGGCTGGGCACCGGAGAGGCACCCTTCAGGCATCCTCTTTCCCCCTCCGGCCTCATTTCCCTCCGGTCCTGCCCCCTCCCAGAGCCCGGGGCTCACAGCCTGGCTGTGCCCGGCTCTCTGATGCCCCCATGGGGAGAGGGGTGGCCCATGCTGGGCCTGCTCACCTGTGTCTGAGGCGGAGCCCGGAGCGCCCGGGGCAGCGCGGCCAGCAGGGGGTCCCCCAGCTCCGGCTCCCGCCCCGGCTCCGGACGCCCAGCTCTGCACAAGCCCAGGTGCCTGCAGATGGCCCTGGGGTTCTGGGGAACAGGAGGCAGTGGTTAGTGGGGGAGGGAACCCATTCGTCAGCTGGCTCCTGCCTCAGGGACCAGGGCCACTGTCCGGGCCTGGGACAGGGAGGGGAGCCGCTGGCTGGGTTGGGGTCAGAGCTCTGTGGTGATGCTGGGGGGACGGGGGATGGTGAGGGATGCAGGGGGAGGGGAGACACATGGTGGAGAAGGGCCGTGTGGGAACTTCGGGGCAGGTGCCTGGGTTGTGTGTGAATGAGCGTGAGCACGTATGTCTGTGAGAATGAATGAGAGTATGTATGTGCGTGAGGGTGTTTGTATGTGTGGGTGTGTAACGGGTGGGCTTTGTGTGAGGTTGAGTGTGTGTGTGAGTGTGAGGACATAGGGTGTGTGTGGTGTTTGTAAATGTGTGAACCCACTGCGTACAGCTGAGCAGACGGGGCAGGGAGCTGGGCACCTGGCTGAGGGGCATTGTGTTTCCTGGGCCAGGTGGGCAGGGTCTGTGTGTGGTGTATGTGGCGTGAGTGGTGTGTGTGGCGGGTGGGCAGGGTCTGTGGTGGGTGGGGTCTGTATGGTGTGTGTGGTGAATGGGGTCTGTGTGTGGTGTGTGTGGTGTGAGTGGTGTGTGTGGTGTGAGCGGTGTGTGTGGTGTGTGTGGTGTGTGTGGTGTGAGTGGTGTGTGTGGTGTGAGCGGTGTGTGTGGTGTGTGTGGTGTGTGTGGTGTGAGTGGTGTGAGCGGTGTGTGTGGTGTGTGTGGTGTGTGTGGTGTGTGTGGTGTGTGTGGTGTGTGTGGTGTGTGTGGTGTGTGTGGTGTGAGCGGTGTGTGTGGTGTGTGTGGTGTGAGTGGTGTGTGTGGTGTGTGTGGTGTGAGTGGTGTGAGCGGTGTGTGTGGTGTGTGTGGTGTGAGTGGTGTGTGTGGTGTGTGTGGTGTGTGTGGTGTGTGTGGTGTGTGTGGTGTGTGTGGTGTGAGTGGTGTGAGCAGTGTGAGTGGTGTGAGTGGTGTGTGTGGTGTGTGTGGTGTGTGTGGTGTGTGTGGTGTGAGCGGTGTGTGTGGTGTGTGTGGTGTGAGTGGTGTGTGTGGTGTGTGTGGTGTGAGTGGTGTGAGTGGTGTGTGTGGTGTGTGTGGTGTGAGTGGTGTGAGCGGTGTGTGTGGTGTGAGTGGTGTGAGCGGTGTGTGTGGTGTGTGTGGTGTGTGTGGTGTGAGTGGTGTGTGTGGTGTGTGTGGTGTGAGCGATGTGTGTGGTGTGAGTGGTGTGTGTGGTGTGAGTGGTGTGTGTGGTGTGTGTGGTGTGAGTGGTGTGTGTGGTGTGAGTGGTGTGTGTGGTGTATGTGGTGTGTGTGGTGTGAGTGGTGTGTGTGGTGTGTGTGGCGGGCGGGCAGGGTCTGTGTGGTGTGAGTGGTGTGAGTGGTGTGTGTGGTGGGCAGGGTGTGTGTGGTGTGGTGGCAGGTGTGGTGTGTGTGGCGGCGGGCAGGGTGTGTGTGGTGTGGTGGCAGGTGTGGTGTGTGTGGCGGGCGGGCAGGGTGTGTGTGGTGTGGTGGCAGGTGTGGTGTGTGTGGCGGGCAGGTCTGTGTGGTGTGGTGGCAGGTGTGGTGTGTGTGGCGGGCGGGCAGGGTGTGTGTGGTGTGGTGGCAGGTGTGGTGTGTGTGGTGGGCAGGTCTGTGTGGTGTGGTGGCAGGTGTGGTGTGTGTGGCGGGCAGGGTCTGTGTGGTGTGAGTGGTGTGAGTGGTGTGTGTGGCGGGCAGGGTGTGTGTGGTGTGGTGGCAGGTGTGGTGTGTGTGGCGGGCAGGGTCTGTGTGGTGTGAGTGGTGTGAGTGGTGTGTGTGGTGTGTGTGGTGTGAGCGGTGTGAGCGGTGTGAGTGGTGTGTGTGGTGTGAGCAGTGTGAGTGGTGTGTGTGGCGGGCGGGCAGGGTGTGTGTGGTGTGGTGGCAGGTGTGGTGTGTGTGGCGGGCGGGCAGGGTCTGTGTGGTGTGGTGGCAGGTGTGGTGTGTGTGGCGGGCGGGCAGGGTGTGTGTGGTGTGGTGGCAGGTGTGGTGTGTGTGGCGGGCAGGGTGTGTGTGGTGTGGTGGCAGGTGTGGTGTGTGTGGCGGCGGGCAGGGTGTGTGTGGTGTGAGTGGTGTGAGTGGTGTGTGTGGTGGGCAGGGTGTGTGTGGTGTGGTGGCAGGTGTGGTGTGTGTGGCGGGTGGGCAGGTCTGTGTGGTGTGAGTGGTGTGGTGTGTGTGGCGGGCGGGCAGGGTGTGTGTGGTGTGGTGGCAGGTGTGGTGTGTGTGGCGGGCGGGCAGGGTGTGTGTGGCATCCCCGGGGGTGGGCGGGCGGCCTCACGATCTGGCTCTGGAAGTAGTCGATGAGCAGCGGGAAGTAGGTGTCGAGCACTTGGCGGCACTTGGGCACCAGCAGCTTCAGGGGCAGCACGTCGCACTCCCGCTCCAGGACCTTCCGCATGGCGTCCTGGGGCCGGGGCCGCGGGGGGGGGGGGGGGGGGGCAGTCAGCGGCCTCCCTGTGGCCGGCCTCCGCACAGGCGCCAGGCCGGCTCCCTCTCCTCGGGCACCGGAGTTGGTGAGCGCCCAGGAGTTAAGTGGTCGGCCCTCCCCCCAGGAACAGCCTCCTCTGGCTGAGCTCCCCCGGAGCCTCTCCTGGCCAGCAGGGCGGAGCCCCAGGCTGACCCTCGCCGGGAAATGGCCCCTTTCAGAGGCAAACCTCTTCCTGCCCTGGCCCCACCTCTGGCCCCAACCTTCCTCCAGGGTCTGGCCTTGTCACCTGGAAAACGGCCTCCTTGGTCATGTTGGTGAGGATGAGGACGATGTTACTGCATTCCTGGCACAGGTTATCCTGGGGATGGGGACCCCAAGGTGGGGACATGAGGGAGGGGCATGCCCCCAGCTCAAGTAGGCGAGGCTCTTTCAGGCATGACAGACAACTACCCACCATCACATCCTACCCCATTCACCCACCCCACCCCATTTCACCCCATCCCACCCCACCCCATTTCATCCCATCCATCCCATCCCATCCCACCCCACCCCATCCACCCCATCCCATCCCATCCATCCCATCCATCCCATCCCATCCACCCCATCCCATCCCATCCATCCCATCCCACCCCACCCCATCCATCCCATCCCATCCCATCCCATCCCACCCCATCCACCCCATCCCATCCCATCTATCCCATCCCACCCCACCCCATCCATCCCATCCCATCCCATCCCATCCCACCCCACCCCATCCATCCCACCCCATCCACCCCATCCCATCCCATCTATCCCATCCCATCCCATCCCACCCCATCCCATCCATCCCATCCCATCCCATCCATCCCATCCCATCCCATCCCATCCATCCCATCCCATCCCATCCCATCCCATCCCATCCCATCTATCCCATCCCATCCCATCCCATCCCATCCATCCCATCCCATCCATCCCATCCCATCCCACCCCACCCCATCCATCCCATCCCATCCATCCCATCCCATCCCATTCCATCCATCCCATTCCATCCCATCCCATCCATCCCACCTCACCCACCCCCTATGGGGGCTCCAATCCCCCAGACTTATCCAGAGTTTGCCCTGCACCCTCTCTCCAGACGGTCAGCCCCGTGCACCCTTGGGTGTACTCACGGGCTCCGCATGTCCCCAGACCTCCTGCAGGCAGTGCCCCAGTGCTCTGCACTGCAATGCTTGCTCCAGGCTTTGGCACCAAAACTCGGGGCCCTGGGCACAGGCCAGGGAGGAGGTGGTCCCTGCAGCTTCTGTTTGGGGTCAGAGCAACCTTTGGATCCAACACCTGGCACCCTAACCTCGCCAACCTCCAAGCCCAGTTTTACTGGCAACGCTTGGCCGTTGAACGCGCTGGAGTCAGGCAGCTCTGGGTTCCACCAGCCTAGAGCCCGGCAGGTGTGTCATCGGACAGGCCCTGGGGCCCCCTGAGCCTCAGCTTCCCCATCGTCACAACGAGGATAACACCCAGACTGGGGAAACCCCTGGCCCGGAGCCCGAGCTCAGGCAGCGGAGAAGATGGCCTGAAGCCCCTCAGCCCCTGGCCCCGGGGCAGGGAGGGGGAGAGGTGAGAGGAGCTGGAGACTCACCAGCACCCGGGCCCCAGAGTGTGGGCAGCAGCAGCAGCCACAGCAGCAGGGACTTGGCCATGGCACCTCCCCAGCCTGGACGCTCTGCCGGAGGTGGGCCTTATAGGTGCGGGCGGGACCTGGGGCCAGGGCCGTGTGGGGCGGGGTGACCTCAGTGTTTGCCCTTGTCCTGGAGGGCCCTTCAGGTGCTTTGGCCCCACCTTTTCCCGGCAGCAACATTCCTGCTTGGCCCCCTCCCCTCCCCTCCCTCCCTCCCCACCTGCTGCCTGTTCCTGCTGCCTTTGCCTGCTGCTCTCACTCCCAGGGGCCCGGATGCCCGGCTTCCTCCCACCAGCGGGCTCGGAGCCTCCACATCTCGCCCCATCTCTCGAGCTGCGGGAGAGAAACTGAGGCAGGCCAGGGCCGCCCGAGCGACCCTTCCCGCCTCCACCCCGGGCCTCTTGGGCTTCCTCTGCTCTTGAGCAATGCCCTTCAGAGCTTCCTGCCCGGCTCTTGACCCAGGGCAAGCACCGGAGGGGCAGGCCGGACCCCCCGGGCCACGTGCCCCCTCACCGCCCGGAGCTCCCCCCAGGAAACGCCTCTGCTTCTGTGACACACGACTGGCTTTAGTCAGAAGTGTTTACGTGAAACTAAGAGGAAACGGAGGGCCAGAGAGCCTGAGACGAGGATGTAGGGCTGAGAACCCCCAAGTGGCTGTGGGACAGACCTGTCCAGGGGACGTGCTGTGTCCTCCAGGAAGGGGCCGGGCACAGCTGGTGGTTCAGGAGAAAGAAACTGGCCTCTGCAGCTCAGAGCGCTCCGGCCAGGCCCCCTGGGCAGGGCACACGCACGGGAAAGCACACCATGTGACCCGGGGCAGACGCGCCACTCGTGGCCACCACTGGGTGATCAAGTTATCTGATGGCTGTGGAGCCCTCTAGACCAGGGGTGGGCAAACTCATTCGTCAAGAGAGCCAAATAGCAACAGGGCAACGATTGACATGTCTTTCGAGAGCCACATTTTTTAAACTTAAACTTCTTCTAACGCCACGTCTTCAAAATAGACTCGCCCAGGCCGTGGTAAATGTGGAAGAGCCACACTCAAGGGGCCAAAGAGCTGCGTGTGGCTCTCGAGGCGCAGTTTGCCGACCACTGCTCTAGACTCTGGGAGGTGCTCAAATAATACTCACGGTGTGGCCGGGTAGGAATTAGAACCAGGATGAAAATAGTTGGACACCCTCAAGGTCACACAGGGATTCGTGTTGGCCTTAAGCCCTTCTCAGCTTGACAACCACAGAGTTGACCAAGGGTGTGTGTCACTGTGTGACCACAGATCGGGAACCCTAGGAGGCTCGAGAGGGTGGGACTGACATGTGCTTGTAGTTCAGCGCTAAACAAACCGTGTCCGGTGTGGATGCCGTCGGGCCTGGCTGAGCAGGAGAGAGGCTCTTTCAGGCTGTGCTGGTCAGGGTCGTCTAGCTGCTGTAACAAAGAGCCCCGGAGTCCACTGGCTTTCCACAGCACATACTTCTTACCCACATCACAGCACGCAGGCTGGCCTCTGCGGGGAGGCTCTGGTCCCCAGTCATTCAGCGTTGTAGGAAAAGGCAAGTAGAGAGAGCTGGCCTGATAACGCCTTTGTGAGAGCTGGGCCAAGAAAAGCCGGAAAAGGCATTTCTTTCCCTGTTGACAACAGGATGTGCCCGGAGACTGCCAGAAACACTTGGGAGCGGGGGAGGCTTTTAAGGGATGAAATTCTTGCAGCAGCTGGGAGGAGGGATCCTAGGAGGTGAAACTAGTACTCTGGTATTGACTCCCTTTTTAAGCCTATGTTGTGATAACCTAATTTATTCATTTTTTTATTCATACACTCAATTAAAAATATATAATCAACACCTGGCTGATATGGGTCAGTGGTTGAGCATTGACCGAGGATTCAAGAGGTCACCAGTTTGACTCCTGGTCAGGGCACATGCCTGGATTGCTGGCTCCATCCCCAGTAGAGGGTGTGCAGGAGGCAGCTGATTGATGACATGTCTCTCTTTTTGATATTTCTATTTCTCTATCATTCTCCCTTCTTCTCTCTCTGAAACTCAACAAAAACATCTAAAAATGAAGAAAAAACAATGTGCCAGACACTCTTCCAGGCACTGGAGATGCAAGACTGAACAAAATGGTAACAATTTTTATTTTTTTTATTTTTAATATATTTTGTTGACTTTTTACAGAGAGGAAGGGAGAGAGAGAGAGAGAGAGAGAGTTAGATGCATCCATGAGAGAAAAACATCGACCAGCTACCTTCTGCACACCCCCTCCTGGGGATGTGCCCGCAACCAAGGTACATGCCCTTGACCGGAATCGAACCTGAGACCTTTCAGTCTGCAGGTTGGTGCTGTCCACTGAGCCAAACCAGTTAGGGCCAAACAGGTAACATTCTATCCTGTAGGGAGCATTCCTCCTCGTGGATGCTGTTTAGGGAGGCAGGTGTCTCTCTAAGGGAACTTTGGGCCTCGGGGGCAGGCATCTCACCTCACTCATATCTACGGCTCTCACAGGGCCCTGAGGGGTTTGTCCATAGTGGGTGCTTTGTCCATAGTGGGTGTGAAGGCATACTTCCTGGGCCAGGTGGTCTCGAAGGATTCATCCTGCTCAGGATATGACAGGTCAACATGGGAACATCTTCCAAATGGCACTTTGTGTTTATCCAGTAACAAGCCCTTTTGAAGCAAAGGATGAGCTAAAATTAACGCGCAGGCTTTCCTAAAGCTAGCAAGAAAAAGTCCGGCTTTGGGGAACATTTTTGCTATTTTTATGTTCATTTATTTCTGATTGCAAAAATATTTGTATCCAGTATTTTAATGTTACAAGTAAGAGAGAACTCAACTCAAACAGACTTACATGTAAAGGACATTTTTGGTTCATGGAATTGAAAAGTCCAGGAATAGATCCAGTACCCAGATCCAAAGCTTGGTCCATAGGCTCACACCATGCCACCGGGATCTGGCTTCTCTCTGTGCCTGTTCTCGATTTCCGGTGAGTCTTCTCCCGGCCCCTGGTGCTCCCCTCGGAGTTAAATGGGGCGGCTGTCCCAGCTGTCACCGCCTTCGCCCACTGTCTAGGTGGAGGTGGGCTCCTCTGCTAGCTCTGATGACGTCAGAGGAAACCTTCCCTGAAGCCCCTGCAAACGTCTCCCATTTCATTGGCTCAAAATGGGGTACGCACCCATCTCTGAACCCATCACTCTGCCGGGGCAGTGGGACTCACTGATTGGCTGACAACAGACAGGGTTCGTCCCTGCAGATGGCTGAAATGAGGGAGAGGCAGTGCCCTCAAAGTCTTGGTACCCACACAGAAGGAAGGGAGTGGGTACTGGGAAAGGACATTGTCATTGTAAGAAATCCAGCCTGGCCGGTGTGGCACAGTGGTTGAGCTTCAACCTATGAACTAAGAAGTCACAGTTTGATTCCCAGTAAGGACACATGACTGGGTTACAGGCTCGATTCCCAGTGGGGAGGATGCAAGAAGCAGCCAATTAATGATTCTCTCTAATCATCGATGTTACCAGCTCTTTCTCCCTCTCCCTTCCTATCTGAAATCAATAAAAAATATATTAAAAAAGAAAAGAAAATAAATCCATGCACAAAAGTGAACAGTGGAAAAAGGGAAAGTTGGCTGTAATCCTAATTTCAGAAAGGGCCTCTGATGACTTTTGGCTGCATTCTCTTCCAGAATTTTCCCATGAATATGTCAACACACATGTTACATATATGTACATTTATTTGTGTAGGAGGCTGAATGCAGCCCCCCCATCCCCACTATGTCCCACTCTAAACCCAGAATTGTGGAGTATGCTAAACTCTCACTCCTCTAGTTAGGTTATTTATATATTTAATAGAGGCCCAGTGCATGAATTTGTGCATGGGTGGGGTTCCTCAGCCTGGCCAGCGATTGGGGCGATCAGGGCGATCAGAGTGGCCGGCTGAGGGCAGGGAGGGATCACAGGAGATTGACTGTGGGAGTGCACTGACCACAAGGGGCAGCTCCTGCATTAAGCATCTGCCCCTGATGGTCAGTGTCATAGTGACTGGTCGTTTGGTTGTTCAGTCGCTTAGGCATATATATTCATAATAATACGAATATTAAGAACAGAGAACTCCAAACTGGTATCAAAAGGGGAAGTCAGAGGGGTTTAAAGTGCCATCGCTGGCTTTGAATATGGAGGTGGCAGGAGCCAAGGAATGCAGGCAGCCTCTAGGAGCTGAGGATGATTCTGGTGGACAGGCTGCAGGGAAAGAGAGACGTTACTGCTACAATTGCGTGGGATGGAATCGCACCAGCGCCCTGGGTGAGCTTGGAGTGGATTCTTAGGGCTCCAGGTGAGAGCCCAGGCTGGCCCGCTCAGACTGCAGACCTACAGGTGAGAGCCCAGGCTGGCCCGCTCAGACTGCAGACCTACAGAACTGTGAGATGTTAAGTGATAGTGTTTTAAGCCGCTGAGCTCTTTGTGATCTGCTATGCAGGACTAGAAAACCAATAAAATGTCATCCTTATTAGATTAAAAGGGATTATCTTATGCCTGATTATCTTATGTTCTGCAACTTAACTCCCTCCCCACTTAGTTTATCCTGAACATCTTTTATAAGTTAGAACATATAACGTTAACTCCTTTTTGTGCCTACATAATGTGTCATGTTCTGAGCTATACCATAGTTTACGTAACCATTCCCCTGGTGGATTATTTTCATTTGTTCAGCACGAGGGATGACCCTCAAAGAACACCCTTCCTACGTACGTCTGTGGACTTCCCTCAGGACAGTTAGGGAAGCTGACTGAGAATCGCTAAAAGGCCAGCATCGTTAAATTCTGGAACGCTGCAGCTAGCTCTCTATAGACGCCTGCTGACCTTCCCTTCCATGAAGGAGAGGCTGCCTTTCTCATCCCTGACACTGTGAATTGCTTCGCTTTCCAACTGTAAAATGCATGTAAAATTTACTGAGGCAAACCATTTTTAAAAAGTATTTTTATTAATTAATTATTATTATTTTTTTAGAGAGAAGAAGGGAGGGGGAGAGAGAGAGAGAA